CTTGTTCCGACGCACTCTGTATAATAACACTAATATAAACCATAAATATTTTTAATTTTAAAAAGAAACGGTATTTTAATTAATAAATGATTAAATTTTATGATATTTATGTTTATCAAAGCATGTCAGACGTATATGAAATAAACGCTACCGCTTGGCGTTTTTTGACACAAAATTGAGACAAGTGCTATAGCATCGCTTGGTATTTTTCAACAAAATTTTTCTAATGACCCCTGGGACTCAAACAGTCAATTTTATATACGTAAATAGAAAAAAACTAAGCGGTAAAAACTCTCAGAAATCATGTCTGCCATAACGTATATTACAAGAAATAATCAAAAAGTTCCTAGAATATTCCTAATGCATTTGAAATACTTTGTCTATCACAGTTTCGTGTAATGACACCTATTTTAATAAGTAAAACAATAAAATTTTTCCATTTCTGCTACTTCCTGTATTCTCTGTTTATTACTATTAATACTTAAAGTCGATCCACATTAAATATATTGATAATGTTCTAAACTTTTTAAATTGGATAAACTAATGGTATAGGGAATTAATTAATTCATAGTTAAAAGCTTGAAATTAAAAATTTTTATTTTTATTATTAAATTTTTAATTTTCAATGACTATATTAACTTAGATACATTACATAAAGAAATATTAATTATTTATTACTGTATATTTTTGTTATTAACTTATTATTTCTTCATATGTAAAAAAAGTTTGTTAGGTATTTACTAGATAACATTTCTAATCCTGTTCTCGCAACATGTAATGTATAGAAAATAGCAGCAATTGTAGAAAAACTTACGACATGTGCGCATTGTTTTAAATTAACTCTACATTTTCACGCGTGAATTTGTATTATATATATTATATACATTATCTACTAAAGGTAAAATTTATCTATAATATTTATCTATATATATTTTATGTATTTTTTAATACAATATAAAGAGAAATATCAGTTAATATCATTCGTTAAATCAATAACTTTTTATATTTTTATATATTTTAATGTTATATTGAAAATAAATAAATATATTTTAAAATATTACCTAAAACTTTACCTTAAATTTTAAATTAATGTAGCATTCATATAAAATGCATACATATAGTATGTACAACACAAGACTATAGTAACTGCTTTATGTAAAAGTTAACCTATATTTTTTATGGGGAATTGTTCAAAATAATATAAATAATGTTATATTATTTTAAAAATTAATATTAGTATTTTACAATTATGAATATGAACAATGTTTGAATATTAAATCTATTTTTAAAAAATTTTTGCCTATACCACACGTGTTTTGCTTCTTGTTTATTTAATTTACAAATATATATATTTATTTTTCGAATATTCTTACATAATTATATATTTGAATTTTACATAAATTTTCTAAAATATATTATTTATTCATATTATCAAAAAATATCATAAAAGGTTATGCTTAAAAAAATTTCCATGGGTAATTTGTGTAGTCTTTTGTAAAAATTTCATTTTTTGTTGCATGTTTTATTATTAAATTATTTGACAGCTTTTTTTGTTACAAAACATGATTTTTTTTTATATTTCTATGTAACAATCAAGATTAAATTATATTACAATATAAATAAGAAAAATGGATTTGGATAAGGAAAAACAATTTGGTAAAGGAAGAGGATCTATTCTTTTGAAATTCCTAAAAGAAAAAGAAAAATTTGAAAGTGAAGCTAAATCGCAAAGTATATTAGGTTATTGTAGCAGCACCAAAGAATCAGAACAACAAAATCAAGTGCAATATGATGTTCCTACTTTAACTGAAATTCCATCTAGTTCTACAGCAGGATATGGAAGAGCTAGTTTATTAAGCAAAGTAAAAGCAATGCATTTTGCTGAAGCACCAAGTATTAAGCCAGTACAAATAGAAAGTCAAGGTAGAGGATCATTGATTAGCAGATTTAAAACCACTAGGTATGAATTCCAAACTATAAATAGATATTTAAATATGTATGCTTACTAAATGATATTACAAGCATATTATAGAAGAATTTATATAGCTCAGCTGAACAACCAAGTGCCTTACAACCTTCTGTTGATGCAGGAGTATTAGGTACATTATCTGAGATTACAATACAAGAAGATACAAGTTCTTCTGAATTATCTCATCCAACAAAACCAAAACTTCGACAAGGAACTAATGGAAGTTCGTAAGTACTAATAATATTCAAAATGTCTCTGCAATTATAATATGATCAGGAAAAAAGTATTTTCTTATGAAAAAATGAATTGAAAGCAAAGAACAGTAAAATTCTGTTTGTGGAATACAAACAATACTTTAAATACTTATTAAATACACGTGTAACTAATTTATATCATCAATATTTTTTTATATTTTCTATATTTTATGATTATAAAGATATCGTTGTATATAATATCATTAGTTCAATAAAACAGATTAAAAAATAAAAATGAATTTTTAGGATAAAATTAAGTGGTAATTACATAAATCTCAAATTAAGTCCTGGGAAAGGATTGTTTAATTATGAAGTTAAGTTTAATCCAGATATTGATTCAAGGCCATTTCGTAGAAAACTTCTTAATCAGCATTTAGAAACATTTGGTCGAACAAGAGTATTTGATGGAGTAACACTATATTTACCACAAAAGTTACAGAAGGACGTAAGTAACATTTGAATGATGAAGCTTTGAAAAGAAGGATATGTAGATTTATACAATGTGTAATTTTTTAGATAACTACACTTGAATCTATTCACTCTATGGATCAGTCAAAAGTGGTATTAAAAATAATATATAAAAAACAACAAACTATGTCTGAGAATATTCCATTTTTCAATATTCTACTTGGTCGTGTTTTGCGAGCTCTCAGTTTAGTTCGTATTGGCCAAAATAATTTTAATCCAAAGGGAATACAAGCTGTACCACAACACAAGTTAGAAGTGTGGCCAGGCTATGTAACAGCAATTAGTGAATACGAAGGGGGCTTAAAGTTATGCATAGATACACGACATCGTATTATGCGTACTGAAACGATACGTGATATAATGTAAAGTTTGCAAATAATTTCATTAAAAATTTAATGCTAAAATTTTAATCCTAAAATTATAAAATACAATAATTCAGGGTCAAGTTTGGAGGAAAACCAAATTTTAAAGATAGTATTCTGAAGGAATTAATTGGACTATCTGTTTTTACAAGATATAATAATAAAACTTATCGTGTTGATGATATTGCATGGGATAAAGATCCAACATATGAATTTGAGAAAGGAACTGACAAAATTTCTATACTAGATTATTATAAATATCATTGGAACTTAGAGATAAAAGATATGAATCAACCACTTTTAGTTCATTGTGACAAATTTAAATCATCTGCTGGTGAAGTGAGTAACTTTTTTATTTTATGAATGAAATCCAGACAGTGAAACGTAAATGCTAATTTTTCCATTTCAAATTCCATTACACAAATTTTAAATGCAGACACAAGAAAAAATTATATTATTAGTTCCTGAATTATGTTACTTAGCAAGTTTGAGCGAAAGCGTCCGTTCAGATTTTAGAATAATGAAGGATCTCATGACATTGACTCAAATGACTCCAAATGCCCGACGTGATGTAATTAAACATTTTATAGCAGAAGTACAAAATAATGATGTACCACGAGAAATATTAGCTGAGTGGGGTTTGCAACTAGAATCTGATGTAGCGGAATTTACGGGCAGAATTTTTGAACCTGAATGTATTACCTTTGGCAATAATGCAAGATTTATACCTGAACGTGCTGCAGATTGGAGTTCTGTAGTAGCTAGGAATGCTCCTTTAAGAATTGTAAGTATTGTATGTATTATATATTTAATAACTCAAAACTTATAAAATATAATTATATTTTTAGCCTAATTTGAATCATTGGTATATCTTGTATTGCCAAAAAGATACAAGATGTACACAAGAGTTCGTTGGTATGTTTAAAAATGTTACAAAAGTCATAGGTATGTCTGTTAAAGAACCACATTTGGTTTGCTTAAAAGACGATAGAATTGAAACATATGTGCAAGCATTAAGAAAAAACATTCAGCAAACAGTTAACCTAATGGTCATTGTATTTCCTACAAATAGAATTGATAGATATTCTGCAATAAAAAGGTAAGACTCTTCATATATTTTAAAATGTTTATTATACATGGGATTGCACATATTGCACATTATAAAAATATTTTCTTAAATATTTAGAGTATGTTGTGTAGAAATACCTGTACCTTCTCAAGTAATTATGTCTAGAACTATTTCTCGTGGTGACAGATTAAAAAGCATAACGGAAAAAATTGCTTTACAAATTAATTGTAAGCTGGGTGGAGCACTTTGGGCACTGAATATACCTATGGTATGATGCAAATATTTCTAATTTTCATTTTAAAAAAAACTAAATATAAATATTTAATTTTAATACATTAGGACAATTGCATGATATGTGGTATAGATGTATATCATGCAGGTTCTGGCCAGTCAATGAAAGGAAGTGTTGCAGGCTTTGTAGCAAGCCTAGATAGGGCATTGACTACTTGGCACAATAAAGTTTGTATACAAGGTAAACGCCAAGAAATAGTAGATATGTTGCAAATGTGCTTAATTTCAGCCATAAGAGCCTATTATAAGGTAAATAATTCAATATTCGTCATACATAACTGCCGTCAATTTTTCAGACTTTGATGGTCTAGTAAAAAAATGTTTGAAACAAAAGTTGATCAGTTTTCAATCGATTATATGTTGCAACACAAAAGTTCCAAAAAAATTTTTTCAAATAAAAAATCAAAATGACCTACGTATTAAATGATACTATATATTTTTAATTTTATGGTGCTATAGTCGATGTAAAGACGAATTCGACGACTCTACCTATTATACCATGACGTTGAAATAATCTTGAATATAAAAATGTCTAGTAAATTAAGAGAGCATTATAGATCTTAATATTATTGATTCCATGTTTCACAAATCACATTGATGATGTTTTCTTCGATTTACTCGATATTTCTACATTCAAAGTATCATTTCAACGTTATTTATGGTAGATCGTTGAATTTATCTTTACATTGGCAATATAAAATAAAAAATACATCGTACTATTTAATAAATAGATCATCTTGACCTTTTATTGAAACATTTTTGGAAATTTTGTGTATTGCAATATACAGAGTGATTCACATAATTTGCAGTACACCTGAAGTAACTTTTAAATTATGCGTCTAATAAAAAATTGTTTACAAAAGTTATATGGTTTTAAGGCAGGCATAGTGTATCAATTTTTTATGGGTTTCGAAATTTTCAAGGTCATCTTTATTTTTTTTTTTATTTAGGCTATACATTTTTTCATTATAAATTTTTTTATCATAAATCGAAAGAATATTAAATTCCAACTAAAAAAAAGTATTAAACCTAATAGTTGAGCAGATGTTGATACCTTTTGTTTCAAAGATGAAAATTGTATAAACTTTAGGACCATTTGCTTGATACATTAATGTTCCAAGGACATTGATGATCCAATGAAGATTATTTGGTGCCCAATAATGCAAATTCTGTAAATTGACATTACCATGATTGGTAAATATTGCTTCGTCAACATTTTCTAAAAAACTTTAATTAATACTTGCTGCAAAAACTATTCAGCCATTGTATTTGATTTTGAATGTCGGATATGGATGTATTTTATGAAGAATTCCAAGTACACTTGATTGTCTAATTTCGGATTGTCGAAAAATCTGTCGTGTATTAATGTGGAACTATTCTACAACTTCTAAGACAGTAATAGCATTTTCTTCATTGGTACTACTTCTGGTACAACGATATTTAACATTGCCAATTTCTCATAATATGTATGTGACAAAGTGATGGAATGAATTGTCCCCATGTTTATGTTGTCCCCTCCAAGATCATTATCTCTATGTTAACTGATGAACTTATAAACATTGTCGAATCCTTTGACGATACCAGGCAATTTTCATTCTCGCGACAAATTACTGTAAAATATTTCCTTAACCATAGGTTTAGGATCTAACGTGGCTTAATACTTTTTTACTTGGAATTTAATATTCAATTTATGATGAAAAAAATATATGGTTCAATTAAAAAAAATAAATATGCTTTGGAAGTTTCGAAATCCCTCAACGCACACAAAAAATTACGTCACATTTTGCCTCTCTTAAAATCATGTAAATTTTGTATTAAACAATTTTTCATTAAATGCATAATTTAAAAGTTATTTCAGATGTGCAGGTTACGTGAATCGCCCTGTATAGTCACCTGAAAACTGATCAACTCTTATTCAAAATAATCTATTGTCCGACCATTGGTAGTACCTGAAAAAATCGTGGGGCATTTATATGAGACTATATTAATATTTTATATACTAATTACATGTAATATATTTATAAATGTTATTGTTATATTATTTTGTAGCATAATAAACGTTACCCAGATCGTATTATTATATATCGAGATGGAGTTGGCGATGGACAATTAGAAGTCATTCTCAAATATGAGATAAAACAACTATTAGTAACATTTAAAACTGTACAAGAAAATTATGAACCAACATTGACCGTAATAATAGTTCAAAAACGCATTAATACCCGGATATTTGAGAGATCTGTAAGTATTTAAATAAAAGACAGGAAATTAAATATGAAAAACTTACAGTTACAATCACACAAACTTATTTAGGGTATGGGAGTAAAGAATCCTCCTCCAGGAACAATTGTAGATTCCTGTATAACAAAATCAGATATTTATGATTTCTTCTTAGTTTCTCAGAATATACGTCAAGGTACAGTATCACCAACTCGTTATATCGTTATATATGATAATAAAAATATGAAACCTGAACACATACAGCGATTGACATACAAGCTATGTCATTTGTACTACAATTGGCCAGGCACTATAAAAATTCCAGCTCCTTGTCAATATGCACACAAACTTGTTTCTCTTGTTGGTCAAAATATACAGCTAGAACCACATCAATCGCTTGCTGATACATTATATTACTTGTAAGTTATTTTTATCTGTGACTGATTTACTTTCCTAAACAATTGTTGATTAAAGCTGTGTATCATACAACTCATTATAAATCATAGATAATTCTAAGACAAAACAAATAGGCATTTATTAGATTAATTTGATACAAAGAATCAATATATTCATACTCACAACTGACTGAAATATAAATTTGAAAAGTATTATGATGAAAGATAAAGCTATTTTTTTTTTAATGTGATATTAAGTCGGTTTATTTAGTCTATATTAATAATATAGTATATATATATATATATTTAATATATAAAAATAATATAGTATTAACAAATATATATAATAGTACTTAATAAATTTTTTAATAATATAACTCATATATTATATTTTTTCACGTTGTTCGGCGATAGTAATTTTTGAAACGTTGAAAATATTTGAATAAGTATACTTTATATAATATAATTATATGATATCGATGTATATTTTATATCATTGCCATATATATTTTTCAATCATTATGTATAAAATTAAGATATCTTTTAACAAAATAAACAAATATTTTGTCATAAATAAATAATATTTTGTCATAATTGAATTAATTTATGTAATTAGTTATATAAATATTTATTAATGTCCTTTTGAATATATCAAGTATCGCGATGCCTTGAATTTACTGAATCACTAAACACGTGATGTGAATCACGAACAAAAAATTTCAAATTTGAACAAATACGAATTCTGGACTATGTATGTGAATATCCAGTATTTCGCTGCCGTATATTTTTTAATAATAATTAATCGTTAATCCACATATTATAATAAAACCACTAAAGAGTACGTGCATAATATTTATCTCTATCCTTTGATTTTATGTATATTTAACAATGCCCGTGTTAATTTTTTTGAATTGTACAATATTATGCATCGTTCCTTATTAAAAATTATATTTTGTTCTTCAACACTATATTAAAAACGATTAGTATAGTCGATTAGTATAAAGGAATTTATTTATGTGCTTATGTGTATGTGTTTACAAACGACCCTGCCGATGAGGATCCAATACCCAGAACGACGCGAGCGAAATGCGTGTATCCATAGTTGTCCACCTTGACTTGAAAGTATGCATACGTGTTCGTGCAGGCGCACGTCTCTATATTACGACGCTCTATGTCAGTGTGAGACAATAAAGAAAGCAATGGCGTAACAGAAATTGTAATATTTAAAATTTAATAACATAATAATGTTATATTACATACATTTTCTATAACACCGATTTCTATTACAACTATTCCTCGTTCATCGTCAAAGACTCACCATCATTTCAAGTGTTTTTTTTTTTTTTAGGATAATCTCAATCGATTATAAAAATTTACAAATAATTCGAATAAATGATGAAAATAGATCGATATAAATTTCGATATAATTAGATCTAACTCAAATTGAGAACTTACGTTTATGAAAAATGAACGTGGCACAACTAAGACAATTTCCGGAATGATTCACCGCAATGCGGTGTTTAGTCGACACGATAGTTACGCCATTGCGAAGGAGACAACCGCATGTGTACGTAAATACGTACGTACGTATGTGTATTTACGGTCGTGGCGTATCGCGTATCGAGTCGCCGCCGTCGCCGCCATTCGAGCGGTTAGCGCCTGCGTACATCTTGTTTACAACTGCGGAGCTTACCATACACATGACCTTTACAAGATGGACATGAGCGCCTATTTAGCTGTCTAGGCGTGCGACGGAAAAAAAGTTGAAGATATATATGTGTCGTTAGTGAAGGTGATGTGCACGAGAGAAAACGCGGTATCGAGTGATCTTTAATTCGGTTATCAAAGAGAACAGTCGGAGCACACGTTCGTGATCGCAAGTGACGCGGTATTTGTCGCTCACACGCGGGCGGAAAGGGGAGAGAGGGATGGTGGGTACGAAAGGAGACCCGAATTTTTCACCTCAAGCAGATGTGATTGTGGTGAACAGATTTCGCGTGTGCCTGATCGAGAGTTCACATTCACGATACGTCGTGCACGTTGATACAATGTTAACCACATCGTGAATTTCA